TTGCTTGAATGACGAAGAAAAAGACGAACCAATAAGGATAGTGTTGACGAAAGGTGTTGAGGGTTGGTGGGAGGGAGAGGGGTGAAGGGGAAGGGGATTAAAAAATGGTGGAAGGGGGGAGGGGTGATGGGGAAGGGGATTGAAGAAGGGGGAGGTGGAGAGGGATGATGGGGAAAGGGAATTTAAAAAGGAGGGTAGGGGGAGAGAGATGATGGGGAAGGGAATTGAAAAGGGGGGAGGGGTGCAGATGAATATGGTGGAGATGGGGGACAAACACATGGGGAATGACGGCATCACAGGGACGGGGGAACAGAGGTATATAAACGGAGAAAACAAAGATACATGGATGGGTTTATTGGAAAAAAGAGGGGGGGGGTGGCGTGAAGACACGTAACACAGTGGAAGAAAAGTCAGCATGAAGTGACAGATGAGTTTAACAGGGAAAAGGAGTGAGAAGAAGTATAGGAAACAGAACAGACGTTGTTTGGAATTTCTCGTTTGTTTTAGTAAAAGGTTTTACAGCACTTGCAACACAGTAAGGTCTTATAAGTGCCGAAGATTAGAGGTATTACCGGTACTAGAGAGTATCAAACACAAAAAGTAGGAGAGATAAGGACGATAGATGCTTAATTGATAGGAACGAAGGAACAAACCACGCCATAGCACCCGCCAACCACCCACAAGTAACGTCAGCATGAAGTGACGGCGAGAGTTAAACTGGGAGAAGGTGTGGGATGAGGTAAATGAAGTAGGACAGGTTTTGAAGAAATAACAGGTGGGTCAAATGTGAAAACATGAGGACGAATAGGTTTTGGGGAAAATAAGGTTAGATCACAAGATTGGGTTGAGCGTCTCAACACTGTGGCGCCATTTAGAATACGGAAAAGACAAAGAGAAGGAAAGCAGGTTAGTTTTTTTTTTAAAAAGAAGTCGGATCTACAAGTTGCACCCTCTGACACCCGTTGACACTTATGGGTACCACGGACAATAACTGGGGAAATGAGTATAGAAAACAGAAAGGAGCCGATGTGTTTGTTTTAGTGAGTTTTACGGCACTTGCAACACAATAAGGTCATATAAGTGCCGCAGATTAAAGGTGATACAAAAGAGTAAGAAACAACAAAAAAGAAGGAGAGACCAGGACGATAGATGATTGATTGGAAAGAAGGACCGAACCACACCAGAGCGCCCGCTCACCACCCACGAGGAGACAACAGGAAAACACTTCAGACGAAATTTTAAAAAGACAGTTGGCACACTCTAGAGATTTGGACTATCAAGTCAAGACATACAAAGGAAGACAAGCATACGACTGTGTGTGTGTGTGTGTGTGTGTGTGTGTGTGTGTGTGTGTGTGTGTGTGTGTGTGTGTGTGAGAGAGAGAGAAGAGAGAGAGAGAGAGAGAGAGAGAGAGAGAGAGAGAGAGAGAGAGAGAGAGAGAGAGAGAGAGAGAGAGAGAGAGAGACAGACAGACAGACAGACAGACAGACAGACAGACAGACAGACAGACAGACAGAGAAAGAGAGAGCCATCCAGCAAGCCATACATAAGAAAACATGAACAGACAAACATGCGACAGCCAGGAAAGCAGGAACAGATCTATATCGGACGAGAATGGCAACAGACAGAACATGGGGAAATTTGCATTCTGGTCAGGCAAAAGGGCACTCGAAGATAAAGTAGGCAGATATAAATGAGACTAACCAGGGAGAGGACGCAGACAAGCAGAGAGTACGAGGTAGGCAGACAGGCACAGAGAAAAAGTCGGACATTTTCCCCCTCGTTTCGTGGCTACGACCTCTTACAACACAAGCACTCGTCATTTTGACTGCAGACACTCACTCACACGATTTAGAGAACAAAGGAAAATAATTCTCCTTGCCATCCACAAGGCATCAGAGGTGGTGACAAGCATGAAGTATATTTTACATACAAGAGGTCGCAGCCTTATCGAGACAGACAAAAGACACTTGTGTAAAATACACTACGTTAGAATATTAACCCCCAAAAAAGTTAAAACCTCTCTCCATTCATTCTATTTCAAGTCAACAGTGCAAAGAGACGATCACAAACATTATTCGAGTGCCATACACAGGTCAGAGGATAACAAACATAATAGTATTATAGTTACAAACATTTTCAAAGTCACACGAATACTGATGAAACATTCACAAATTTCTGCAAAATACTCTTCATTCATACGGAACACGTGTCAAATTTGCCAAAGACGTTTATGCTTAATTACAAACAAATAAACAAACAAACAGACAAACAAACAAAAACATATTTCGTACAGAGACTCTCACACACCAACATAGCCGCATACACAAACTGTAAACAGGACTTACTTCTCATGCACCACATATTTGTTTTAAAAAAAAAAAAAAAGCTTTTTGCACCATGATTACACTATTTTGCTGCAAAACCACATAGACAGACAGACACACAATTGCCCACAAAAAGGCATGGAATATATGTCAATACAGAAGGAATATGACCCTCTGGCACTACGAAGCACAGCGCAATAATAATGCTTTATTATAAAGAACTGATCTTGTTCCCGCACTCACACTCACATACACATATCTATAAACACACACACACACATACACTGACAATCATGAACACACACACACACATACACTGACAATCATGAACAAACACAAAATATATATTTAATGTGTAAGTGTGTGTATTGAGTGTGTGTGTGCCTGCGTTTTGTCAAAGCATGGTTGTTCATTCATATGTATACAAAAACAAGCTCTACATAAAAAGAGGGAGTCCTGTAGAGCGAAACAGGTTTAAAAAGAAACATTTTAGAAACCCATTAAAAAATAACCATTTTCGAGGGGAGGGTGGAATGATGTGGGGTGAAGCAAAGATATGATACAAAAGAGAAGAAAACTAGCAAACAAACAGAAAGGCAAACCTACCGGCAGGTGGGAGATCTTCATCGGCCTCGTCTATGGACACGGGGGCCAAGAGCGAGCTGGGCACTCTCCCAGAGGATCCTGGAGAAAGAAAAAAACAAAACACAATTGACTGTCACATTTTTATGTCCTCATCTGATGACATCAAAAAAATTTAGATCATTTCAACTGCTCAGTGTGAAACTCATTATACACTCCGCACTTCTCAAAATGGTGTATGGCAGACTTCCATTAGCTGACAAAAACACCCTTTTTCCTTGTTGGCACCAAATTTTTTTATTTGCTACATCAAAAGCCTGATCAGTTGTCCTACTTGTGTGAAAAAAGACTCAAAGTGAAATTGCGAATAGTTTTGGAATAAATTAGAATTCAAATTTCAATAGAACGCTTTTTAAAAATGTTTTGCTGACAAAAATCCTCTTTATCTCGAAACTGCTGTGAATAAAAAAAAAGGTGTCTTGTCAGCTTACAGCAGCAGAGTCTTACACAAAGCAGGCGATTTAGGAGGATGGCTGCTTCCACCCAGCCTGTCACGGCCAACTCGTGCTAAATGGGATAAAACAACAATGCTGAAGAAAAGATTTTATAAAGTAACTCAATAACAAACTTCACCATTCAGGAATCAAACTCATGTCTTCTGTGTGTAACAGCGAAGCGTCTTACCACAACAGCACAGATGCAAAGGTCTTGGTGGGGAAAACAAGATTAATAAAAGTCAATCCTCTCTCCTCCCTTTATTTCATTTTATACTTATAGTCAGGCATAGATGACTCAAACACATCGACAAATGGGTTTGAAACATCCACAATTTGGGTTAAGCGATTAAAAGATATAAGTCTTTCTTTCCTTCTTAGTATCTTTCTTTCTTTTTATTTTTTCTTTCTTTCTTCCTTCTTTTTTTTCAGTTTCTTTCTTTCAGTTTCTTTCTTTCTCTCTCTCTTCCTTCCTTCCTTCCTTTCTCAGTTTCTCTCTTTCTTCCTTCCTTTCTTCCTTCCTTCCTTTCTTTTATTCCTTCAACAACCTACCAGTACTGCCGGACGGGTCTCGGCCCAGAGCCTGCTTGAGAGCGGCCAGGCCCGGGTTGGAGATGATGGAGAACCCACAGAGCAGCTCCATGGTGTTCCAGCGGTGGAGGCGCTCCTGTAGGTCGTGCTTCACCTCTTCCAGCGCCGCTCTGAGGGGAGGAGATACGAGTGAGAAAAATGATAGGATGAGATGATGTGGATAAGAAGAGAAGATGTGAATAAGATAAGATGGATAAGATGAGATGATGAGATGGTAGTTTTAGTAGAGTTTTACGGCACTTGCAACACAATAAGGTCATATAAGTGCTGAAGAACAGATGTGTTACAAGAGAGTCAAATGCACAAAAAAGGAGGAGAGATAAGAACCATGGATGTTTGATAGAAAAGAAGGAGCAAACCACACCAGAGCACCCACCATTACCACCAACCACCCACATGGATGAGATGAGATGATGTAGAAAAGATGAGAAAGATAAGATGAGATGGATAAGATGAGGTGGATAAAATGAGATGGATAAGACATAAAAAAAAAATATTAGATGTTTTTGAAATTAACTCCTTATCTCATGCAAGCTGCTTCCAGCAGCTCGCGGTAGGAACTGCTGTGCCAGTGAGCCACTGGCAGAGGCTCGGGCACATTCCTTTACGAAGACTTTGAAGGCAAATTACATTTCTGCAATTGCTAAAGACAGGTCTCTTTTACCAGGAGTTCATTTCTTAGATGGAAAACTATCAAAATAGGTTCACTAGTCTTGTTTCCATTTCATGACCAGTTTAGAGACGTATGTGTCACTATAAGATTTTTCAAGCAATTCAAAAAAATAAAACCATTGCAATTTTTGCACCTTTTTAGTAACACATGAGAATTTCTAATAGCGTCTTTCGTCAGACACAGAACCCCCTACCTGGCATCCAGAATGCTCTGGTCAATGTCGTCCAAGGAGTTGCTGTGTGCCATACGGAGGGAGCCCAAGAACGCTTTGTTACGTTTCTTGATCTTGTCACACTGCAGAGGGGATTGGAAAGGAAGAAAAATGTAAGTAATGTTGAGAAAAACTCACTGCTTGCAAGCAAATCCTGCTTGTTGTATCTCAAGTCTTAATTTAGTTTTAGCAACAATTTTACAGCACTTGCAACGTAATAAGGTCATATATGGGGGGAAGATTAGAGGTGTTACAAGAGAGTAACGAATTTAAAAAAAGGGAGAAGAGATCAAGACGATAGATGTTTGATAGTAAAGAAGGACCAAACCAAACAAGAGCACATACCCACCAACCACACACTCAATTAGAGTTATGACACACATATATGTGTCTAGCTCTGACACAAAACCACATTCATGATTGCTTCCATTTCCATATATCCTGCCCTTTACTCATCCCGGCCCCAAGCCTTCAACTGCTGTCTCTCACACAAAAACAAATTAGGTTTTTTTCCCATCCCCTAAACCCCGACCCTTCACTCATCCTGTCCTGCCCAAAGACACCAGAAACTGTTTCTGACGCAAAACCACACGTGCGATTCTCTCCACAACCAAACCCCAACCCTTCACTCATTCTGCCTCAAGCCAACATAAGCTATCTCTGACACAAAACCACAAGCCTGAAATTTTCCAATCCACAAACCCCTACCCTTCACCCACCCTGCCCTGAGATATCAAAAGCTGTTCTCTGACACATAACAACATGCTTGATTTTTTCCAGTCCCTGCTAAAACCCCCACTCCTCACTCACCCCGTCCCGGGCCATGAGCAGCTGTCTCTCGGCTGCCTGGCGTTTGGCGTGGTAGTGGGACTGCTCCAACTCATGGGTCAGCTGAAGCCAGGCCTGTAGCTCCACGGGAGCTGACCACTGGCTCTCTAGATGTTGTTGTAGCTCCAGCTTACTCTCAGCCTCTGTAAAGAACGGAAACTTTTTGGTTGTAGTAAGCGTTTTACTGCACTTGCAACACAATTAGGCCAAAAAAATGCCGAAGATGAGAGGTGTTACAAGAGAGTAACAAACACAAAAAGGGACGATAGATGTTTGATAGGAAAGAAGGAGCAGACCACACCAGAGCACCCGCCAACCAACCACACAAAATTACGTTTGTTTACCATGATCAGCCCTGGTGCATAGGTGAAGTTATTTGTTGTGGTGACGAGATATTCTGTATCTAAGCTGCAATTCAAGAATTGTTTGAATTTTGCATTATTTACAAGGACAAATAAATTAAAGATGGTTCCAGTAGGAAACGGGACAGAGGGTGGCTACGTCCCTCACGACTCATTGGAGCAGAGGAAGATAGAACTAATGCTCACATTTTTTAAAAGACTCAGCTGGCAGTAAACCAACGCATATCACCTCATTAATTATATAATTCAAATAAACACAATCTCACATCATCATTAAGCACCACCATCATATCTAAAATCATCATTGCTCTCAGACCCTTGACATACATCTTTGTTCCTTGAATCTCCATCTGTAACAGTTACATGTTCAAACGATTATTTATGTAATTAACTATTGGACATTATCATACACACTTTTTTATACTAATCAAATCTACCGTAAGCTGACAAAACGCTTTTGTTCCTTTTTGGCACCAATTTTAAAAAAAATTAGAATCAAAAGCGCGATCAGTTACCTTACCTGTGTGAAAACTGTGACTAATTTTTTAATAAATTAGAATTCAAATTTCAGAAGAACGCTACTTTCAAACGTTTACGCGGGCTAAAAGCCTTGTTATTCCGAAACTCCTCTGAACGAAAAAGAAGAAATGTTTTGTCAGCTTACGACAGAGAAGGCGTCAATCTCATAGAAATGGGTAAGGGGACAAAAAAAGAAAGAAAAGAAAGTACCAAAAAAACACACCACCCCCCCAAAAAAAGAAAGAAAAACAAAACAAAAACTGACCAGACAAAGCCTCCCGGAGAGTGGCCAGTTCCTCCTCTGCCTGCTGTAGCCTCCGCTCCCCATCCTTGCGCCGGACCACCGAGCCCTCACGGCTCAACGATGACGGAGACCGGTCCTCACTGTTGGCCACACGAGCTGGGGGGACTTGCAGACGGAGCGAGTTTTGCTGGGAAAGACAAAATGAAATGAGATATTACAAACTTTTTCTGATTTAAAAAAACGCGTTTTGCTGGGAGAGACAACATGAAATGAGATATAAACTTTTTCTGATTAAAAAAAACAACAACGTGTAAGTCTAACGTAGATAAACGGGATATCAGATGGAAGGAGTTTTGCTGTGAAAGACAAACATAAGATGAGACTAACTTTTTCTGATTAAAAAAAAATGTTGTACAAGTTTAATATAGATAAATGGGTTATCAGAAAGGGGAGTTTTGCTGTGGAAGACAAGATAAGTTGACATATAAACTTTTTCTGATTAAAAAAAAAATGTTGTGCTAGTTTAGCAGAGATAAACGGGGTTATCAGACGCAGGGAGTTTTGCAGAAAATGAAAAATAAGGTCTTTTCATTTGTTTGTTGGTTTGTTTTGTTGGAATAATGAGAAGCACATCAACACAATAATGGTCATTTAGTGCTGGGAAACAGTAAGACAGACAGACAGACAGACAGACAGACAGACAGACAGACAGACAGACAGACAGACAAAAACAAAGACGGAAAGTAAAGAAGTAGGACCTACCAGTGGCGTACTTCAACCACTCGCATTTCATTTGATTGAGTAAAGGGAGGTAAATTGCCACAAGAACTGCTACTTAGGGCTGGTGTGGCCTTTCAATCTTTTTTTTATATCTCTATGAGACACAAACAGGCTATTTTGAAGATGGGCCTCATTCTGTGGGATTTTGAAAGTTTATTCTTTACTGGCCATTTGTTTAGTAAGTGTTATACTGTACTTGCAACACAATAATTAAGGTCATATAAGTGCCGAAGACTAGAGAGTTTACAAGAGAATAACAATCACAAAAAAGAAGGAGAGATAAGGACGATAGATGTTTGATAGGAAAAGAGAAGCAAACCACACCAGAGCACCCGCCAAACCACCCACTTTACTGGTCTGGACCCCGTATCGGAGGATAATCATAAAAAAGAAAGAAAAATGAGGACTGAAGACATTGGCATAGGGGAACAGAAAAGATGCCACTCCTGCCACCATTATTAGTATCCCCAAAAACTGTTGACTGGCCTTGTACCCTCTCGCTCTTGTGCCAAGAGTAAAAAGTGTTGAGAGAGTCTCTGTTTAGAGACCAAATCACATAGCGAGCACACCATAAAACAGATAGACTGGGGGAGCCTCTATGGTAGCTGTTGTCGATTTATAGCTTAGTTCACCCCTGAGCAGATTAGTGCCATAGTACTCTTGGAGAATTTGAGGGAGCAAGCCATACTGGAAATATCTGAGTGAGCGACTATTGGTATAGCATATATATCAGGCAGCCCAATATATGCGGGTGGACTGGGAGATTAGTTCAAGAATGAATTTTAATGCACTTGCCTGCTACACAATTAGGTCATATGAATACCGAAGATTAGAGGTGTTTTGTTTTTAGTAAAAGTTTTACGGCACTTGCAATACAATAAGGTCAAATAAGTGTTGAAGATTAGAATTGTTACAAGAGAGTAACAAAAACAAAAAAGAGGAGAGATAAGGACGATAGATGTTTGAAAGGAAAAGAGAAGCAAACCACACTAGAGCACTGAGCACCCGCAAACCACCCACTTTACTGGTCTGGACCCCGTATCGGAGGTTAATCATGAAAAAGAAAGAAAAATCAGGGCTCAAGACATAGGCATAAGGGAACAGAAAAGACGCCCCTCCTGCCACAATTATTAGTATC